GGACCGCACTGCTCCCCAGTTCAGAGAACTGGGCTCCGGGATGCAAGGGAGCCCCCCTGGGAAGCGATCCTGGCAAAGCAAAGGCCTAGAGGAAGGGCAGTTTACAAGGGCTGAAGCCCCAGGGACCAAAGGCGGGCACCTGCCACCCCCAAGGCAGCTCAGAGAAGCGGCTCTGGAGCCCGGCCGGCCTGGGCCCAGCTCACCCACCGCCTGCCCGTCCTGGAATCGCTGCAGTGTGCCGGGCGCCGTCTGAGCTCTACGTGCCCCTCAGCTGCGGCCTTCTGGCACGTGAGGTGGCCTGACGAGAGCACATCCCTCCGAGTGTGAGGACAAACAAGGAGAGCAGCGTCCGGCACACAAATCCCTCAACACTGTCAATCACCTACTTAAAAAGATGGCTCCCGCGCGCACACATGCACACAAGCACACACATGCACACACACATATGGCTGCTCTTAGAGGGCACTCCGTCCTTGCAAGTTTACTCTTTGGTCAAGAATAACTACTGCTCTTTCTGGGTGAGGAAGGCAGGCAGTCCATCCGCCCGCCTCTCATTCTGCTCCCTCCGGAAACCTCGCTAAAGGGGCAGTAAGTCCCTAGTGATGGGGAGCACAGAAGAGGAGACAACAGCCTCAGTCAGGAAGCTGGAAGCAGAGGGACGACGGTGACCGACTTGGCACACCCGAGAAGGCCGCCTGCCCCAGCCCGCGGCAGGGACGCTGGACTCCGACCCCAGGACGGCTGGGGGGACCAGGAGGGAAGGTCAGGCCCTGGCCTTGTCTCTTTTTCTCTTTAGGGAGCTGACAATGGCTTCTTCCGCTTCCTGGCAGGGGCCGGAGGGTTTCCCATTTCTTGTGTTCTGGCTGGGGGTACACCACGCACAAAGGAAGAAACAGGTGTCACCCTGAGACAGGACGTGAGGGCCGCTGCTCCTCTGTCCCAGCTCAGGACACAGCAGCCGGACCCTTTCCTCCCAGACAGGAAGGCGGGAAACTATTCGGACAGAGAAAACTTAAACCATTATCATCTCAGAGGTAAGAGAATGTGCTGCATCTACCAGTCAAGAACAGGATGCTCTGCTGCGCCTTGGCATTTTGGCTAAGACCAGGTGAAGAACGGGCTGCTTTCACAAGAAACATTCAGACTGAAAAACAGCCTTTGAAAATTAAAAATGTAATTGCGGGAAATCTTTTTAAAAAAACCCAAATACACGGGCTGGGAAATAAAAGTTAAGAAAATCTAGCAGTATGTAGCCAGTTGGAAAACAAATAAGAAAATCAGAAGAACTTTACAGGGTTGCCATGTAAATATCAGGTATTTCAGAAGAGAGACTACAGAGGAGATAGAAGGGAGAAAATAACAAAATATTTTAAGAAAATTTCCCAGAACAGAAGTTTTAAAAGGTCCATCAAATACTCAACCTAATGGATGAAAACAGACTCGCACTAAGACACATCATTTTAAATTTTTAAGCACGAGACAAAGTGTAGATTCTCGAAGTTTGTAGAGGGGAAAAAACAGGTCCCATACAAAGGATCGAGAATCATAATAGCTTTAAATTGCCAACAGCAACACTAGAGGCAAGATGACAATGGAGCAATAACTTCACAATTTTGAAGGAAGATTATTTCCAAGTAAAATTCTATCACCGGCCAAAGTATCAGTCAAGTAGGATGACAGAATCAGAACATATTCCTACAGGCAATGTCTCCAAAAAGGGTTAACCTTCTTGTCAAGAAGCTGCTGGTGTCTGAGGGCCACCAGATCAATGAAGAGGCGACAGGAAGGAGGCAGCACAGGAGAGCTCGGAGGGCCAGCTGTGTCCCCAGGCCAGAGGTCGCAGGCCCCGCTGAAGCGGTGTTGCGTCAGGCAGAGCTGCGCTGGCTGCCACAGCGGCTTTCTACCTGGAGGACCGAGTGCCCGAGCTTGGCCCAGATGCCCATCTGTACTCGGCTGTGCTTGGCCCCTCTCGCGTCCAGCCCTGCAGCCTGTCTCAGCAGAGGACTGTCATTCCCTGCACGGGGGTCCCACCCGTGACCTCCCTAGCGAGCCAGCAGCAGACATGGGGCCACCCCTCCCTCGGACCTCATCCCCCCAGGACTACGCTTCTGCTGTCCTGGCGGGACCCGGTCCGCCCCGAGCCCTCCAGGCCCCTCGGTGGGAGCCCGACTTCCTGGGACTCACTCCGTCGCTGCCGCCCACTGACCCCCTCAGCCAGGGCCTCCGTACAGGGCAGGGGCGGGCGCCACCCTGTCCTCTTCCTTCCCTGGAGCCTCCGTCCAACAGCGACTGTGCTGTCCTTCCCTTACACGGCCAGGTGAATACTCGCGACTATGAACCACAATTCCAGCCTCACGTTTGGAAAGCTCTGGCATTTTCCACTAAGCCTGCTTGCATCTATCTCATCCACCCTCGGGGGGAAAGAACTTTGTGATCATAGTGTATTTAATGGAAAACTCACTGTTAATAAAGGCGCAGTTTATGGAGCAGTAAGCTTTGGATTTAACTGCAGAAATTAATATGGTGTTATGATTTTATATGTTGGTAGGGAAAATTAACCCTGAAGGCACGATTTTGTTGCTCTTTGGAACATTAGCCAATTATATGTAACTCAGCAATGTTATTGAGACATTCCTTCCCCCAGGTACCACACAAACACCTACCCCCCAGACCCTCGCCCAGCCAGCTCTCTGCCCCACTCTCAATAACAGTGAAAAACTGTGAAGCGTGCTCATTATCTCCTTGTACAAGAATTTTAACACCATTCATACAAAACGGAATGTATCACTGAAGATGTGTTTCTGTGTATGCATACACATTTATGTACATATGTGTAAATATATACGTACATGTGAATATACATTGATGTGTAAAGTTTATTTTAAAAAGCAAAAGAAAGATGAACCAAATAATGAGGTTAGAGGCTACTCCTGTAAGATGTAAATGTTTTGTTTCTTAATCTGGTGCGAGGGACAGCGATAGTCATCGCCATCGTGTTCTTTAAATATACATACCCGCGTCATACATTGTTCGGTACCTGAGACACATTTCACAATAAAAGAAACCCTTAAAAAGGGAACAAGAAGTTCTGTGCCTGTTGGCCATTCCAGGGGATTCGCCCAGACGGTGTCACACACAGCGTGTCTGCTGGGGCCGCCTTCTCTCTCCCGCGCTGGCTTGGCAGCCGAGTGGGACAAGGCGCCCTTGAGGTCAATGGCGCCGGGCGGTAACAAGGTTAATAAATTCACCATTATTTGACCTAGTCCTCACATTGTTCTTTATCCAACCTCTAAGTACAAAAGAACACAAAACTTCTAAGATACCCATTCAAATCAGAGAAAATTAGTCCTGCCTTTACATTATAAAACCCTTTAAGTTAAAGAGAGTCTCAGTGCAAAGAGCATTTACACTGATCTGTTTAAGTCCCCCCACAGCGCTGGGAGGGGTTTTATGCAGCAGGGCTTTTCCATGGCAGACACCCAGAATCGACCAAAATGTCCATCGGTAGAAGACTGATAAAGTATTAGAGCACCTCCAAACAATGGCAAGCGATGTGGCATTTCAAAAACGAGGCAGGTCTACAGAACTGATACAAAAATGTGCCCTTACAGCAAGCCAGGTGCCCGCCAGCACGACGCTATGGTCCCCTTCTGGGGAGTGGAGTTGAGCATGCAAAGGATGCCAAGTGAAGAAATAAGGGATTCTAACTTTTTACTTGGGATACTTCTATGCTGCATGAATTTTTTACGGGATATTCTTTTGTGAATATATTACTATAATCAATTGAAAGGAGCAAGTAAGGGTAAGATGATAAGATAAAGTCTTGACCGGGGCTCCAGAAATGAACTCGGGAAAGGCCTGCCAGTTCCTGCCGCGGGAACCCTAGTGCGTCCGGGGTGGGGGTGGGGAGGGCGTGTCTCCGGAAGAGGAAAACTACAGGCTCCCCCGCCCCCTCTCCCGAAACCGGCTTTTCCAGCCGCCTCAATGCTCAAGATAAGTTCTGATTTTCTTTTTAATTAGGAAAACTCACTGCGCTGTATGCCTGAACTAAAACAAACAATGGTGAACGTAAACTGCAACTGAAAAATAAAAAAGAAGCCAGAGTCTTGCAACTCTGTTACCGGTAAAAATGCTTAACGTTTGTTGTGCTTGTGAAACCTACGCAGGCTGGAGGGAAGAGGAGGCAGCTCAGGAGCGACTGCAGAGGCCGGGGCAGAAGTGTGCCCAGCCGGGGGTCGGCGCCTCGGGGGCCGCTGGGAAACGGACCGGGTGCAGGCATGTGAGTCGGAGGGAGAGATGACAGTCCGCACACCAAGTCACGTCTCTGGAAGCCGAGAGCTGACGACGCGTTCGTTCCGCGGTGAGGCTCGAACCCCCGCCCCCCTACCCACCCACCTCCTGGGCTTACAAAAGGTCACATAATCACCATTCAGACTGAGCGCTTCCCTGTAGTTAACTCGGAACCCAACTTGCGGCTGGAAAACGAGAACGATCCTCCCCGGCATTACTGCCGCCCACAGCAGCGGTTCTCTGCTGCCCCTTATCGGAAGGGACACTCACACGGTAGGGCTCATTCTCCAGAGCATGCGGATCCCTCCCTGTTCCCGACCCCCGTGCGGACGGAGTCGGAAAAGTCCCCACAACGCTGACAACACTCCCAGCCAAGGTTCAGCGCCCCCGGGGGTGGGGGGACGACGGAGCCCGGAGCGGCCCCGTCGCCCGGTGCGCGTGCCCCGTCCCCCTGCCCGCCGGCCTGGGAAGCCGGCCGGCTCGACAGGCAAACCTCCCAGTGCAGCCATCCGACGGCGACGGGGCGCGGAGGTGCGACCCGCCCCGGCCGGCCCGAGGGGACGCGACTGGGCCGGAGGGGGCGGCGGAGGCCCCCGACCCGCAGGCCCGTTCCGCCGGGCACCGCCGCACTCCGCAGGCCCGGAGACCCGCCGGCCGGGGGTGCCTCCTCTCGCGCGCGCGCGCCCCGGGAGCCGGCGTACAGCACTCACCCAGCTCCCCTGCTGCCCACGGCGACCCCAGGGGCGCGCAGAGCGGAAGATGCTGCGCGGCGGCCGGGCCAGCGAGCTGGGCTTCACTTCGGCCCCGGGATCCGCGAGCGGAGGGCGGGGGCGAGGCGGGGGGGGAGCGCCGGCGGGGCGGGGCGCGGGGCCGTGCGCACCGCAGCGGCCAATCGGCGCGCGGCAAGTGGTCTGCCGGGGGCGGGACGGGGAGCGGGGGCGTGGCGAGGCCATAGGGGGCGGGGCGAGGGCGCCGCAGCTCGGCCGGTCGCCCGCTGGACTCCGCGCCTAGAGCGTCGCAGCCGCTTAGGCTCGGCCCCTCCTACAGTCTTCGGGGCGGCCGCCGTCGCGTTTCTGCTGCGGACTTCAAGTGCAGAACCGGTGCGATCAAGCGCAGGGGGAGCCAAGGTCAGAGGGCAGGGACTGCCTCTGCCGTTGCCCTTAGGCCCAAGGGCGTTGGCCGCGACCTGCCCCGATTAGGGCCCGAGCTTCAGGATGTTCTCAGGAGCTCAAGTCTGCAGAGATGAAGCCCCTCTCCATCCGTGCCACTCAGATATGGAGGCCTAGAAAGGGGGAAGCTACGCATCCAAGACTGCTGGCTAGTACTGTTCACCCGCGGTGTCCGCACGATGCAACTGGTCTTCTGATACTGTCCTCATGCTTTTCCCGGCCACTCGCCCAGATTTTTAGCTTTCTTATAGTCCTACTGTCTCCTTTAAAGACGTCTTTAAATCATCTTGAATCTTCACGTAACTTCACATAACTTCAACAGCCTTGGAAAGCCCCGTCTAAGTTTCCTTCAGAATATAAAACACCGTTTGTTTGCTTGAGGAAGACACATTGTGTAAGTCCAGGTATTAATGGGACTCTAAAAGAAGTTCTTCCCTGAGATTTGGCAGGTGTGGCCTAGTGGATGAGCGCCGGCCTGAGAAGCAAGGGATCACCTGTTTGATTCCCACCCAGGGCACCTGCATGGGTTGAAGGCCAGGTCCCCGGTGGGGGGCGTGCAAGAGACAACCCCAGACATGTTTCTCTCCCTCTCTTCCCCTCTCTCTAAAAATAAAATCTTTAAAAGAGTTTTTCCATGAGGTGTAATGAAATAAAAGGTTTTGTACCACAAAATGCCATCCTCTTTTACTCCTGTTACTCCTACAGGTCTTAGTATACATGCAAGAGGAACAATCCCTACTTTTTCATATTTTCCTACTCTCCCTCAGTTCTTATTTTCATGGATGCTATTATTTCCTAAATTGTCAAATAACACATTTATACTACCTTACCCATCCTCTTGATCCATAGGCTAGAATCTAGGTGCTCAATAAATATTTGCTTAATAAATTTCCTTTGAAATATGTGCGGCCTTTAAAAAGGTTAAATTGCTGACCTGTAAAGATCTGCTTTTTAAAAATAAGTTTTAAAATCTTGCTTCTGTTTTGATCATTGTACTGGTATTAGGCTTGGCTGAGAGTAGCAAGGGAAAACAACCACAAAATAGCAGTGGCTTAAGCAAAATATTGGTATTTCCCTTTTATGTTTAAAAAGTCCAAAGTTGGTGTAGAAATGGTCTGGCACATTATAGAGATAAATGTAGTTCCTTGCTCCAGCCAAGGGAATCACACATATAATTATTTATTCTTTAAAAAATATGAACATTTGAAAGTTATCAGGTTCCATTCCCACTATTGCTTCATGGTCTAAAAGAGTTGCCATAGCTCCAACCATTGTTCCTGCATTCCAATCAGCAAAAGACAGAAGGGAACACTCCTTTCTTTAAGAACCTTTCCAAAAGGTTGCATATGCCTTTCCTGCTTTTGTTGTGCTGGCAAAAACTGAGTTACTTAACTACACTAAACTACCAGGAAGGCTAAAAAATAGGGTTTTGTTATGAAAGAAGGAAGAGTGGATACTGGGAGATGAGTAGGAGTTTCTACCATAGTCTCAAATCTCATAACTTTTTAAAGTATTAAGTATTTTAATATTCCCCAAGATTTTGTAAAGCTCTTTTACAGGACATATTCGGTAATAAAACGCTTACCTCCACATTTGAAGAAAGATGTTACTGTTGACCTGCTATTGGGATACACATGGTTTGAGTTGCTTTCCCAGAAGGGAGTAGCAACCAACGCCAAGGTAGCTTGCTTCTCTCTCATTCCGTAAACTACTTCACAAAGAGAGTCAAACATGTACATAGCTATGCTTTCAAAACAATGGGTACTTGAAAGATGCTGGGATTAAGTTGCTGATGTCAGCGTTTCAATGTCGGCATTTCAAATGTACTGAAATTGCAAATCAGGCCAAAAAATACTCCACACATGCCCTGATTCAACTGGAATTCAGTTGGCATTCAACTGGGATCTAAGTATGTGTTTTGTTAAATTACCTAAGGACCTTGGAAGGGCCCTCTTAGATTCTGGACTCTTTGTGACTTCACAACCATGTTCAGGTTTCTGCCAGAAGAGAGTCTAAAAGGCCTACCTCAGCCCTGGCCAGTGTGGCTCAGTTGGTTGGAGGGTTGTCCTGTATACCGAAAGGCTGAGGCTTTGATTCCCGGTCAGGTCACATACCTAGGTTACAGGTTTGATCCCCGGTCAGTGGGGAAAACTGGGACCACCGATTTGGAAAACTGGCGCTATCTAGAAGAGTTGACGTTTTGCGCCCCCTGGGAGCTGGCGTTTCCTCCTAGGGGCAGCCTCAGAGGGAGCCTTTGAATGTGTACACACACGCATGGGTCCACATGTACACGGGTCCACTTGTTCCCTGCAGTGTTGTTCATAGCAGCTGCCCGCAAAGGAAACAAGTGGCCCTCATCAGCAGAACAGATAAACAGCGGTTTACTCGGATGATGGAATCAGATCAGCTATGAAAATAAATGAACTGCAGCTACACTCAGTAACGGGTGAGCCTCATAAACACAGTGTTGCAGGGGGAGCAAGACACATTCAAAAAGCAGACAGAAATAAGCCACTGCTTAGGCAGTGCTACCTAGACGATAGGACCATTTTTAAAAAAGCAAGGAAAATGGGCGCGGGGAGAGGGGGGTGTGTCTCCAGAGAGGCACAGGAGCGGACTGGGAAGCCGGGATCCACGTTAAGGGATTCTCCTTCAAACTCCCCGGACGTGGTCCACGCAATCTCGGTTTGTACGACGCATAATTTAAGAACCTGGGGGTGGGTGGGGGCTAGGAGGAGGCCAGGTGAAGGCAGTGGACGGGGCTCCCGGCAGAGGGCGCAGGGCAGGGGACGGGAGGAAACGTGCGCAGAGCGCAGGGGCCTGCAGGCAGGATGGCGTGACGTGGTGTTGCCTCTCACATGCCCTGAACTGGGGACCCTGCCCACAACCCAGGCAGGTGCCCTGACTGAGAATCAAACTGGCGACCATTTGGTTTGCAGGCCGGCATGCAATCCATTGAGTCGTACCAGCCAGGGTGGGATTTTTTTATTTTTTTTATTTTTTTTATTTTTTATTTTTTTATTTTTTTTTGCAGTACAGACAGCTGCTGCAATTGTGGTCATTGAGTTTATTTTCAAAAATATGGGCAATCTGAGCCCTGGCCCGGTGGCTCAGTTAGTTGGCGCATCACTCCATGCACCAAAAAAGGTGGAGGGTTTGATTCTAGGTCAGGGTACATACCTAGGTTGCGGATTCAATCCCCAGGAGGCAGCTGATAGATGTTTCTCTCTCACATTGATGTTTCTCCCTCTCCCTCTCTCTCTCTCAAATCAGTAGATATAGCTTCGAGTGGGGAGCAAAAAAAGGAGAGTAAGATCACACCCCTGTGGGTATGAAATGACCCTGTTCCGGCAGAATGGATATTCAGTGTCAATATTTGGGGGAAAGGCTAGTCTTCGGGTGAGAAGTAGGAAACCACAGCTTGAAAGGTGATTTGATTCTGTCAGAAGAGGAAGGATTCCTTCCTGCAGTCTACACTCTAAACACATTGGATACATCTATCAGTTGGTTTCCCTTACAGTCACAGAGAAAACCACCTCACACTGGCTTAAGAAAGAGGACTCAGTGCCTCGCCAAACTGGAAGGTCAGAGTGACGGGGAGCTCCAAGGCGGGGCGACCCACTGGCTCAGCAATGTTGCTGGCTTCTCCCTAGGCCGGCTCCCTTTGTGCTCCCCGGAGGCTGCTGACCTGCAGTCCTCGCTGACCAGCTCCAGCGGGGCCTTTCTCCGGCTGCGTGGCCCCGGGCGACTCCCAAACCCAGCGAGCTGCCGGGCAGTGATTGGTTTAAGCCAAGAGGCCGGAACCAATCATGGGGGGCGTGGGGCGGGCAAACGATTACTCAGCTCTCTCTGAAGCCCAATGTTAATACTCTCCTGCTAACTACCTTATAATGCCCGTTAATTACCTTGAAATGGAATTTCTGAAAAGTGTAACCCACCCATGCACATGACCTTTAAAATATCAGTAAATGCCTTGCCTGTAGTATAAGAGAAATAGAAAAAATAGAACTTAAAACTGTAATGATGTTCTAATGCATCAATGATCAAGCAGGATTACACTAGAGGACGTGAGGAAGTAGTCAGATGCTTGCAGCCCCCTGAATATGTTTGGATTTAAGGGAAGTAAGTTAGAAGGCATTCTCATCAAGAAGTTCAAGAAAAATGAAAATACTGAGATATGGTGTAAACCAGAGTAAAAACTAAATTTAGAATAGTAATGACATGGCTGGCCTGTTTGATGGTGAGAGAGAGAGAGAAGAAAGAAAGAAAGAAGGAAAGAAAGAAAGAAAGAAAGAAAGAAAGAAAGAAAGAAAGAAAGAAAGAAAGAAAGCGAGCCCTGGCTGGTGTGGCTCAGCAGATTGGGCGCCGGCCTGCAAACCAAAGGCTCACTGTTTGATTCCTGGTCAGGGCACAGGCCTGGGTTGTGGGCCAGGTCCCTGGTTGGGGGTGTGCGAGAGGCAACCACACATTGGTGTTTCTCTCCTTCTCTTTCTCCCTCCCTTCCTCTGCCTCTAAAAATAAATACAATCTTTAAAAATATAGGGAAGTAGCTCAGTTGAAGTAGAAATCCACGTGGACAAAGTGAGGTGTATGGCGGTCTGCCCGGTGAGCCAGGGCTTCCCCCGAGGGTCCCGTTACAATAGTCAGTCATGTGGTGGGATACGGGAAAGGTGGCGTTGAAATATCACAAGTTCTCTGTGTTGAGGACAGAGTCAGACACCAGTGGTTAAAAGACAGATACAGAGACAAATTCTCCCATGTGTGACAGGGTGCAGAAGGTGGCTCAAAAAAAGATACGGTCGTATAACAGTGCCAGAAGCCGTGGAGAAGATGGGTAGAGGGCCTTTGAGGACTGTATAAAACAGAGGCACAGTAGGTGACCCCAAAATTAATAAATCATTCCAACATGAAATTTTTACACTATAGATCGAGTGTAATTGCACTTGAAGGGCAGCTCGCACAAAATATGTTGAAAACAGTGCTTATTGATGAAACTGACTTTCATCTTTGTCTATTATATTGGTTATCCAGGGCTGTATAGCAAATTATCCTCAAATTTAGCAACTCAAAACATCGGACACGGAGGTATTATTTCGCACAGTTTCGAAAGGTAAGGGGTCTGGAGCAGCTTAGCAGAGTTACCCCAGCTCGGGTGCCACCGTCTGCGGTTGCTGCAGGCGTCCGGAGGCCCGACGGAGGCCCTGCTTCCCCTGCAGCTCGCCCACCTGGCCGCTGGCTGGAGGCCTCAGCGGCTGGACCCGGGTGCCCCCCCCCAGGGCTGCCTCAGCCAGGGCGCCCGGCCTCACCCAAAGGGACAGGGCGGCGGGAAAGGGAGAGGAGGCTGCTAGCGTCCGGAGGGGCATGCCGTCGCTTCTGCTACGCTCCACCAGCCGCTCAGACCAACTCCGATGCCATGCGGGAGGGCGCTACCCAAAAATGTGTCGCCTCGGGCGCTGGCTGTGACACCCAGTAACTTCATGACATCGGGCTCCGCTGGTGCACGTTCGCATTCCCCGCGACCAACGCAGGCTGCAACGAGCGTGCCGCGCTACCGGTCATTCCAGCGCCGTCAGCCGTGGTGCCGTCGGCAACGCCTCCTAAAATGCAGTGTAATTCTTGGGAAAAGTTCCAAGATCAGGAAGTGCAATTTTCATAGCAGTTGCATTTGTGAGAGAAAAAAGAAATAGTGTATTTAAAATCAGGCAAAAGGTACGCTGTGTTCATAGGTTAACTATAATTGCGTTCTGGGCTTAGGAGGTTATACGCAGACTCTTCGCCCACGGGAACGTCTGGTGGGATGGCTGAATGCCGGGCGGGACGTGGGGAAACCTTCCGTCTGGCCCGCACGCTGTGAAACTCCCAGCATCCCCGGCCCCACCCTCCAAATGCCTGCAGTCGGGCCGGTGTTGGAAACGGGTACCCGCTGGGATGGCGTGGCCGTCCCAACCCTTCAGAGCAGAGGCGAGCCCCGCAGCAGCTCGGTGCCGTCCCCTACCGGCGGAGCGGAAGCTCTGAGCACGGGGTCCGCTGAAGATTGCCGCGCAGGTCCCCCAAACGTCCTCTAGAGGGCGGCACGCCCCCGCTGAGAAGCGCCGAGACCCAGCCCCGCCCCGAGCCGGTCCGGTTCCACACCCCTAGGGATCTCAGTGGTCCCGCAGGTTGGACCTGACAGCGCTCCTTTGACAGACGTGGGATGGGAGGCTCAGGAAGGTCACAGAGCTAGTGAATGGCGGAACCTGGATCTAAATGCAAATGTCCCCAGCTGCAAAGCGCTTTCCCCTTCCTCTGCACACACTGCCTGGGGCTCCTTGATCCTGGGGTCCTCAGGGAGGCAAGGATCTCAGGGCAAGTAGAGGACGAGTGTGAAAGTCCTACTAGGAAACAGACGGATTCCGAGGCAACCCCAGGAACCCATGGAGTTCTAGCAACAGCTCTCCAGAGGCTGTCGCGAATGTGACCTGCTCCGGTCTCCTCTGGGCCCACTCTGAAGCGGCACCGTGTGCGTGAGAACAGGGATCTGGAACCAGGCCGACCCAGACAGCCTGGGCTCACACCCCAGCTCTGCCACCTTCTAGCGCTACGGCCCAAGGCCAGTTGCTTGACCTCTCCGAGCCTTAGTTTCCTCATCTCTCAAAAACAGTATATATAGTTGTTGTGAAGATTGAATTAGTTAATGCAAGGTAGATGTTCCGCAAACATGAGCGGCTGTCGCCATCTCTGTATCTCGTGCCTCGTTAGGAGGCCCCCATCCCTGAGTCAGGATAACCTCCGCTTGCGTGTGCCCTCTGTACGCCTCATGCCTTCTCTCCGTGGAAACTTGCAAGTGCTATTTACTTCACTTGCTCAGCATTGATTAGGTCTAATTTCCGTGAGAGCATATGACAACCTCATGCAGGCTTAAAACATAATGTGTTGCTATGGAAAGATCTTGAAGATAAACTAATAGGCAGCTGAAGAAACAGGTATAGGCAAATACGTATAGTGTGTGTGTGAGACAGTGTGTGAATGTAAATTATATACATTTTTGGAAGGATATTGTTGTAGCAGGATAGAGGTCACCCCAAATACATAATAATCCCCAGAAGCTGTGAATATGTTGTTACATAGCAAAGGGAAATTAAGGTTGCTAATCAACTGACTTTAAAATAGGGAGATCATGAAGGTCGCCGGTAAACGTACGCCAAAGGGGACATCGTCAGAAAGGGAAAGTGCTACCTCCAGGAGCAGGCCCAGCGCCCCGCCACCTGCCGTCCCTGAGGGGTGCTGGTGATGTCCCGAAGGGGGCTGAGGCCCAGGGGCAGGGGCCCTGGCAGTGGGTGGCGGGGAAGTATGTGTGGGAGTAACAGGCCTGAGCCACAGTGACACGGCTACAGGGGGCTTTCACCTTCAAGGAGGGGCGCCCCCCAAAGCAGGGTTGTATCTGGCGGCAGGATGAACTGGCTTAGTAATGTGGTCGCTGTACCAAAGAACCGGAAACCATCGACAAGAGGTGCCAAACCACCAAGGATGGGCCTCAGGCTCACAGAACACAGGCAAAACCAAGCCACGCAGCTGGGGACAAAAGCCACCATGATAGAGGCTCCCTCCACCCTCGGGGTGTGGGGCCAGGGTCCTGGGCCGACAGTTTGAAGAAAGGAGCTATGAAAAGGCTGGGAACCAGCCAAGGGTTTGATGAGGGCCAATTGATGAGCATGGAAATCTCAATAGATGACTTCAACACCTGAAAGCTGGCAAAGTTAGGAGGCAAAAAGTCAACAGAAAAAGGTCGATGCTGTGTCATAAGAGATGTAGCAGATTCCAACTTAACACACTCCACTACACCAGTCGAAATCTTTTGTCTGACCTGGAGTTTGGTTACTTAAATAAGTAAATGTTTTTACTTAACTGAATTGCCTTCTTAACGAGAAAAATCTATGTCATGGTCAGTTGTGATATTATCAGTCTAAAAGATAAAAAAACCATTTAGGTGGTCAGCCCAAAATGCGGTTATTATAATTGGTTGTTTGTACAACAATGGACCACTGAATAATCATTAAAATTCACTTTATTATTATGGACATTTACAAACATAAAGTGCACTATGCTAAAATTAAGGGTTTGCTAGAGTTTTCTGATAATTTTACTTTCCCTTTATCCAACATTGAAGATGGTTTCCTTTATATATGATCCTGCAATGCAACTAGGTGTCATACACTGAATTCCCTATTTAGCAAGAATCACAGAACCGTAGCCTTCTAAGATGTTTTGAAACTTAGCTTTTCTTTAGAGTAATTCTATCATTCTAGAAGCCAAATAACTCGCTCAACAAAATAATCACATTATAGCAATCAATGCCCCATGATTTAAGCAAAAAGGCCTGAAAATTCCTTTTGAAGATGCAGTTTTAACTATCACGTACTGTACAAAATAGCTGTTCTTCCAAAATGAGAGTGGCAAGTGCCACGCGTCTGAACTGCACCCATAACACAGTGCTCTGGCTTCAACGAGGGAAGAAACCTGCTCCCTTTGACCACTCTCGACGCTCTCCCAGCGGCCCAATCCTGTGGCTGGAGCAGTCACACAAACCAAAATGAAAAACCTAGATTTGACTTGACTTTGGGTGGTGGGCACACAATGCAATATACAGACCATGTAGCATAGAAATGTGCACTCGAAACCTTTATTATCCTGTAACTAATGTGACTCCAATAAGCTTAATTTTAAACAAAAGTCAGATTTGCTGAAAAGTGGACGGGGCACCAATATTTCATGAATGCCAAATTCTTGTCATTTGCCAAAGGAGCAAACTGGTACAAAATTCAGACATCTTGTCTTTGTTTTTTCACGGGTTCCTAAGGAAATTAGATCCCTAAGGCAGTAAATTGAGGTTTTTCACGGGGCTGAAAAAGCCGCTGGGGAGTCCGTACAGGACACAGAGAGACCTTGGGTGGAGTTACATACACCTAGCACGTCATTCTGAGTAGAGTTGAAGCCCAAGTGACATCTTAAGTTTCCACTGAGCCCAGGGGTTGTTTCCGCCTCCCCCCTTCCCACTCCTGAAAGGTCTCAAAATGCACCTAGAACTCTAATAAAAAGTGGACATGGCAGACTATTTCTAGAATAGCTAAATCAACCAGCTTGGCTGACCAATTTGTGCAACCAATGAATCATGAAGTTAGGTAGGGAAAAGTACAAAGTACCACTCAGGTATTTGTTTTCTGTTTTGTTTTTTAAATTCAGGACCCACAGAGAGGAGCTTTATCTAAAAAAGAACAGTGCAGTAACTCCATAGGCCAATTTCCTGATCGCAACATTTCCACCCATGTAGTATCCCAACAACAGGAACAATTTAGATCTTTAATAGCCTCAGGTGTCTAAGTGCAGCAAACTTGCAGAAAACACACATCATTTAGAGATTTCCCTGCCTATGTTCCCCACACTTGTTTAATTTTATGACTTTTAATAATATATGTTTGGCTTTTTGTTGTTAAGTGCTTGTGTTTGAAGTTGGCAAATGGCAACTGTTTTTAAGTTATTAGAGTTTAAAACTGCAATAAGACATTTGGAATACCCGTTATGATTCCCAGTCTGAGTCCCTGTCCAAATTCATTTCACCTGATGACTGACAATTAAACACTGAAATGGATTAAAGTGCTTCCTTAGTTCTCTTCTTACTACATTCCCAGAGCAAAGCTGGCTGAACATTTCTGTGACACAGCTTCTGATAGCCTTCTCCCTTACATGTCACTGGAGATGAGATTAGTTTGTGCAAAGTACTGAGGCACACAGTTCTCAGACTCCTGTGTTAAATATCAGCCTCTATTTGTGATGTCAGTCCAACTGACAATGATTTGGGGGCAGGACTGTTGAAATGGTCAGATTTTAGTAAATTTCCACATATTCATCCAGTTGAAAAAACCTGTTTTGACTCCTGTTGTTTTCTCCCCTTCTCCTTGATCATTGTTATCTGGGTTTTTATCTGTGACTTCTTTTGTTTTTATAAGGGTTTCATATATGTCCTGGGCTCTGGCAATTTCTTTCTGTGCATCAAAATGGACTTTTTGCCTGGTTAGGAGGGGAACAATTAAATTAAAATCATTAATTCGCTTGTTTAGTTTTCTGATGTTTTCTTGAAACTGCTCACACACTTGGTTCCACTGTTTCTGCTCACTTGCTGTCATGGGATTCCCAAGTTTTTTTCTGGATGCTAAAATTGCCTCTCTGAGTTGATCAATAGTATCCTTTATTTCTTTTTGCATTAGGATCCATTCTGGTTGGTATCCATTATCTATCAATATTCTGTTCAGGTTGTGAGTCATGGGATCAATATATGAACAGCCAGAAAACTTTTTTAGAGGTTTTCCTTTCCCACTGAGATTATCAAAGTCTCCTTTTGCCATTGATTCCTGAATGAGATCCTCCACCAAACGCTCTATTGCTTGAGTTATCTTTTGTTCTTTACTTTGTCTCACATCTTTAACAGTTAAACTGTCAGCGAAATACTGGCTATATAGTTTCTGCTTTTGATATTCCATCACTTGCTCAGTTGCACGGTCTGCTCTAAATTGCCTATATTGCTTCTCTCGTTGACTTGGAGATCCAAAACCAATACCTTCAAAACTTAAATAATGCCGGTGTTGGGGTGTTTTATATTTGAATTTCCCTTCTTCTTCATCTGCTTCTTCTACTTTATTCTGTCTGGCATTTGTTTGTTCTGTCACGTGGGAAAGCACCTTCCTATAGGCTTCTTCAATCTCTATAAATGTTGCAGAGTCAGCAGTAGAGGAGCCAACGTCTGGATGGTACTGCTTGGCAAGCTTACGGAAAGACTCCCTGACATCGTCTGCAGAGCATCCTTCATCCAGGTTCAGCAGCCTATAGTATTCTCTCATCTTCTTTTTTGATTTATGAGTTGACATCATCCTATTTCTAATGACTCCAAGATACGGGAGCATTTTCATTCGATTAGGAATCATTGCAGCATTTACCAGGTGAGATCTTAAGATGCGAGCCATCATTGCATACAATGTGTTCATTGTTGTACCCAGAGTTCTTCCTAGCAATGACCTATAAAATGACAACAAATATAAGGTAAAGAAAGTTATAGTACCTGCGGATTTCATATTTTCAGCAATAAGAAAAAAATTACAAGTACAATATGGGGCAGTTCTTTCTAAGGCAGCTGCCAACCTTCTTATAGCTGTATTTCACTTATGTTAGCAGAGAGATGGAAGCTGATGATGTCTAGCATTAACATATTGTGATATAATCTGGATTCTACCCACAAACCACAGAATTTTGGAGCAGGCAAGTTCTTTGAGGTCATCTAATCCAATCTTCTCAGTTTAAGATCAGAAAGTTAAACAGCATAACCAAGTAACATAGTGAGGAGTCAGCAAGATGATTAGGGTAAGGTCACAATAAGAAGTTTGTCTGGCCCTGACTGGTGAGGCTCAGTGGATTTGAGTGTCAGCCAGCCAACCTAAAGGTCACCGGTTCAAATCCCAGTCAGGGCACATGCCTGGGTTGCAGGCCAGGTCCCCAGTTGGGGGTATGGGAGAGGCAACCAATCACGTGTCTTTCACACACGTGTTTTTCTCCCTCACTTCCCCCTCTCTAAAAATATATAAATAAAATCTTTTTTTAAAAGGAAAACATACTGTGATTGGTAGGTTGGTCTTTAAAAAAAAAAAAAAGATGTTTGCATCCCCAGCAGATTATTAACTTCATCAGCACCACTATTTCTTTAGTGTTCACTGTCTTCATCGTCTCGCGGAGTCTTCTCATAAGAAGACTTAACGCACATGAGACAGAGGACATGACAAAGTGGATACCTAGTCTGACATAAAATTGAACAGAATCAAGCCCCAGACTCTAAGCCCTATAGCTCGTTAGGAACGGGCTATGCGCTGCATGCGGGAAAACCAACATAAAAGGTGAGCCCTCCCAACACGTTAGCTGTTACTTTTAAACGCATGGTGGAACGGAACAATGAAAATAAATAACATTTTTAAAATTAAATAAACGCAAGGTAGAGCAGAGGAGAAAAACTTGTACACAGATAACTGCAATGAAACGATGAGAGCGGTTTAACTGGGTCATTTCCGTGTACGAACGCTAAAACTGAGCTCCCGGAGACCCCAGTTCTCTACAAAACTGGGGTCAACGGCTCTTAGGGTCGGTTGGTGGTGGTGGCGGTCGCGCCAACGGCGGCCGTTGCGGAGGTTGGTGAGTCCCAGCACGGGACAAGCCCCGCCCGGGCCCCACTCACCTTCAGGCTCCGGGAAGGGGCTCCGCGGCGGTCGCCCCCGTACACGTCTCCGCGCATGCGCGCGCGGTTCGCCCTTCACTCCCGGGGTCTCCACTGCGGCGGCCGCCGCGAGTGTCCTCGTCGGACTACACCGTGTGCCTTTCCCAGTGAGGGGCCTGGAGAGGCGGCAGGCGGCGGAATCGTACCCGATCGGGACTGGGGTCCTGCCTCACCGGGGAGCCCAAGAATCTTTCTGAGAAGGAGCCATACCCAAGAGGACACATGCAGGACACTTGGGGAGGCGGGGCCCGCCCAGGGCGACCCGCTTCCCTGGATGGGAGGTGGGCCGCTCGATTGGGATTGTGGGAGTTGTAGTTCGCCGGGAAGGGCGCCGGCTGCGGGCTCTGCTGTGCGGGGAAGGAGGCGGGGAGCGAGCGGGGTTCCGCGGAAACGGGAGCGGAGGCGGGGAGGGGGCGGTCAGCTATTGGGGGAGAGGAAGGTGGTCCCTTTCCCTGAACAGCCGCTTCCGGGCCTGCAGACGGGACACCTGCGCAGAGACAACATAGGTGTCCCTAATCCAGAAAGGCGTAGGCGACCCAGGCTAAAACCTAGCCCTGCATCGGTTGAGCAAGAACTCAGTGAGCGGCTCGCTTAGCCAGGTGTTGGCACGGGCGGGGACAGTCGAGGATAAGATCCAAATAGGGGTCTCCTGGCTTTAAATTCAGTCACTGACCTGGAGACTTACTACGGTCAGGTGATTAAAAAAAAGAAAAACTTGGGAGTCAGACCTGGGTTGAAAATCCCGTTTCTTTCATTTGCTTTTCTATCTGTAAGATGAGAGTACCAATAACTGGTAAACGTGTAGTTAGCACTTAGTTTTTGCCAGACACTGTGCCAAGTGCTTTTAAGTATAGTTCCGCAATCCTTACAACAGCACTCTGAGATATATGCTGCTGTTTGCCCCGTTTACATGAGATGACACAATAATTGCATCAGACACCCTGAGTTTTGGGGAGTTACACAGTGTATGGAAACCGCCGGGCACAGTGCCTGGCACACGAGGCAGTGCTATGACTGTGGCTCCTAAAAAGAGCCACGAATAGGTACTAGCTGTTCTAAGCTTCTGAGTTACAGACTGTAATTTGTTAACCTCCTCTGTTGTAGGTGCACAGAAAAAGCTTTAAGTTCTGATTCGGAGGGACTTTCTTACACGTAACGAACATAAAAGAACTGCGGTGCGAAAGAAAATAGTCTTTCTTCTAGATGGCATCTTAAACACTGCATGAAAGAAAAAAAAGTCAATACAGTTTAAAAACTACTCATGCTTGTAGAGCACTTTGCATTTTACAAAGCTGTCATCACAAATCTCATTTTGATGTTTGCATCTTTTTTAAAATTTTAATTTATTTATTGATATTTAGAGAAAGAGAGGAAGTAGGGGGGAGAGAGAGAAACATCTTTTTGTTGTTGTTTTTCTCCTTATTTGTTTATTCACTGGTTGCTTCTTGTTTGTGCGCTGACCTGGGTTGGAACTGGAAATCTAGGCACATGGGGCAGACGCTCTAACCAACTGAGCTGAGCTGCCCGGCCTGGGCTGATGTTTGCATCTCAGAAGTAACTATACTTGAGTCTGAGTAGCTAAGGGACTCAGTTAAATTTGTAAATGACAAAACTAGGCCTAGAAGTGTAAGTCCATGTCCCTTTCAGAGGATCACTTTTACAGTATGACTCTACCTGTAGAGGGCGAGTTGGGTTCGGTGGAGTTACCCGTTTAGAACACTCGCAGCTGCTGCTGCAAAGCACACTCTAGCCACCTGACTGGGGGGGATTATTTTCCTCGTGTATAAGAAATGTGGATCTAGGCGGTTTCTGGTGTTGATTCAGCTACCAAGAGCTGCCACATTCGCTTTACCATTCTCTCTCTTTCTCCATATAGGTACTTTTAATCCAGAATCCTTTCAAAGTACTTTAGTATTTCCTCAAAACTAGAACATTCTGTTACTTCACCTAACACTGTTTCCCAATTCAGCAGATTTAACAGATACAATATTATTTAACGTATAGTTTTGTGTGTTTGTTTTTTTTTTAACCCAGGTTTTTCGAAATTTTCCATTTGGCAGAAGAGGACTCTCTCTCCTTCCGTGGTATCTGATGGGCCTTAAACCCAGGTGAGTCCCAAACCGCCACTTCACACTGGGCTGGGCATGGAGGACTGATATGTGCTACCAGGGTCGAGTGCTAGTTGGTGCCAGTTGTAGCTCAGAACTGTGACCCTTGGCCCCCCTCACTCGGCAGGAGACCTGGAGGAGGAGAAAATGTTTCCGGTGCTGAGGTTTTTGCCTTTAAATTATTAAGGAAGAATTAAAATCACTTTATCGGGGTATCAGGATCGAGTTATGAATGCCTTCCTCTTTGAGGGGCACGACCCCCGCCCCAGTACAAACGGGCAGGGGGAGGGTTCCTAACCCCGCAGACTTAGGACCCCAGGCCCAGGGGACTTGGAAACAAAACTGGCTACTGGGATGCGGCTGCGCCTCAGGCAGCCGCCCCGTGAGCGCGCGCTGCGGTCGTTCCTCCCCCGCGTCGCCGTTGTCGAGGGGCCCGACTGACGCGCAGCCGGGACGGGACACCGAAGCCGTGGCCGCCTGACCTCAGCAGCCCAAGGGTTTAAAAAAAAAAGGCCCTGGGGAATTCGGCAGGTGGGGATTAAGTCGCGTGCGGTGTTTGCAATGAAGAGCCCTTGACCAAGCCAGGGGCCAAGGTGGGGCTCCCGTGTGCGGGGCTCAGTTCCCGCGAGCTCACGTCTCTGTCTGCTAACCGCACAACCAGCTCCCTTTCAGTCCTGCCCGGAGCCTGATCGCTTCCCACCGGGCCCAGTCGCCTCCCCCGCTCCCCCACGGCGGCCCCCAGACGGGCCCTGCCCCGCAATGCTCCGCTCCCCCCATCCTCCGTGCAAGCCTCCAAAGGGCCCCCAGGCCGCTCCCAGGAAGGGCCTGAAGCCCCACGGACAGCGCCTCGGGCCCTGCACGGTCTGGACCCCACCCTCTCAAAGCTACCGCCAGTGCGCTCCGCTGCTTCCCACGGGGTCTTCCCACGGGGTCGCCAACTCCAGGCAGGTGCGACCGGCCCGCTGCCTGGACTGCCTTCCCCCTCCCACTGTGGCCGCAGGGCTCGCAGGGCTCGCTGCGGTCTGCCTTCCTCTCTAAGCGCGGCTTTTTCGCGGAGACCCTCCCCATCACCCCGTTTGACTATGACAGCCTGTCCTCCCCACACGCCTTGGCTCCGGCCCCTTTCCTTTTTCCACACGGACAGTCTGAAGTCTGCCTAACTGCTTGTTTATTAATTGTATTGTATATTGTCCCACCTTTAGAGCCTGAGTCCATCAGGGACTGATTGCAGGGCCTGACCAGGCACGGCACATGGTCAGTCCGCCATTAGATATTTGCAGAAGAAGGGAGTGGTGGGTAAATAGAGACCACAGTCCTGGGGGCGTGGCTTTCCAGTGGGATCTGGAGGACTCTTGTTTGTGCAGGACTATTGTCACATTTCTAATCTGTCTTTCGTCTACATACACTGTTCTGTAGCCTCTCTGGGGCCTCCATTATGTTTCTGCAGGGAAAGAGGTCTACAGAATCATCAATTTCAGTATTAAGAGGGGATTCCCATAAAACTATTCATTTACCCCTAAAATCATGGTCCCTTCATCCATGTAGACGTGACCTTCCACTTCACCGTCATCTTACCTGATAAAACAAACCTTCACTGCGTATCAAGCCCCGGGCCAGTCTTCCCATCATCCTCACCAGGCCCCTGGCAAGTGAGACGTCACGGAGCTTCACCGGTTTCCGCACGGCTCATGTTGCCCGTGACAGCAGTCTGACAACGTGCCGCGTGGTCCGGGGGGATCTGAGAGAAGTCAGTAGCTTCAGGTCCAGGAAGTGCCATCTCTTTTCTCCACGCCAAGGATCAGGAGAATTCTTTTGCTTTGGGCTTTTTCTTATTTGCCATTTTATTAATTTAACAACTAAACAGTGTCAGGCACTGTTTGGGGCCTTAGAAAGGGGGAGCTGAGCCTCTGGGGTGCATCCTGGTGTGAAGGGACCTGGTTGGCCGCCCAGCCGCCCGAGCCAAGCCAGGAGCCCCAGGCAGTCACTGGCTCCCACAAGAGCCGTTGGGGGCCCCGATCTTGACAGCGGTCACAGGACAGTTTCACCTTCATTATATTCAAAAGTGGACTCGTGAGATAATCGGATCCAAACCATGGTGTATTATTCCAAGTGATTTGTCTATAAAGATGCTGCAATTATAAACTAGTTTCAGAGAGCAGCACCTTTTTCCGAAGCAGTGATGCTGGGGATCCGCTAACTTTGTGGTTAGGAGGAGAAAAAAGCAGCCTGTGACATCAGAAAGCGACATTACATAGTGAGCATCGCTCAGACGTCCTGAGCGGCAGCAGAAGGTAAAACAGCATTAACGGAAACGGCTCCGGCAGTGACTTTGGATATGTTTCCTACTGTTTGCAACGCCCTGTTTCATTTGCCCGTGGAACTGGTGCAGATAAACTAAGTAAAGCGATGTTCAGTGTTGTAACTGACACACTTGTAGAAATGCTGGACTAAGTTTAAAGCAGTGAAAAACTTCTAACTATATATTATATATTTGGTGGTGCGAAAGGTGTTAAAAAAGTGGGCCATTGCATAAAATTTCTAATTTTAAGGATCTTAAAACAACCTGAAATTATAATTTTACAAATGAGTTCTTAGGATTAATGGCTCAACGCCCATTCTCTTGGGGGAAAAAATTGAAATACATGCATGTGACTTATCCAAGATTACTCCAACTGACAGCAGTGTTGAGTATGTGTAGTGGGTATGAGTGTTTCTGGTTGTATGTGTGTGTGCATGTGAATGGGTATATGTTTCTGTTTGTGAATGAGTGTGTACCTGTGTGAGTGTGATTGTACATGAGTGTATCTGAGTGTGATAGTAAGCGTGGAACAGCCCACTGTTAACCTTGGCTTTTGTTTGGTTTAATGTTCTTTTGTTTGGATGCACTTTGGATTAAAACAATTGCAAAGCCTTGAGAAAGAAGAAGGAAGTTGGAGGAATCATGCTACCTGATATCAAACTATAGTACAATGCCGTAGTAATCAAAACAGCATGGTATTGGCATAAAAATAGACACATTGATCAACAGAACAGAATGGAGAGCCCAGAAATAAACCCATGCCTTTATGCTCAGTTAATTTTTGACAAACGAGACAACATACACTGGGGTGAAGACAGTCTGTTCTATAAATGATGTTGGGAAAATTGGACAGATACATGCAAAAAAAATGCAACTAGACCACCAACTTACACCATACACAAGAATAAACTAAAAATGGATAAAAGATTAAAATGTAAGACTTAAAACCATAAAAATCCTAGAAGGAAAGATAGGCAGTAAATTCTCTAACATTTCTCTTAGCAATATATTTCTGCTATATCTCCTCAGGCAGGGGAAGCAAACAAAAAAAAAATATGAGACTACATTACAAAGTTTTTGCACATCGACAAAATGAGAAGACAACCCACTGAACGTAAGGATATAGTTCTCTTTTGTGTGTTCTGTTTTGTGGGTGGTGAGAGGCAAGGTGGTCTTGAATTTGGTTCACGGGTTGAGCTGGAGCAAATTTTCTTAATATACAGGGGTCATAGACCTGCTACCTGATGCTACTTGATGCTTCTAATTGGCTAATTGTGTTGTCCACCTATTAGACTTGGCAGGTTCCTCTCAAGGGATCCTCTCTATACAGTGCTTATCAAAATTCCATGTGCAGTCTTGATGAAATGCACATTCTGATTCCATAGATCTGAAATGGGGCCTGAACTTGCTGGCCTCACAAGCTCTCAGCCAATGTGAGTAACACTGAGTAACGGAAAGCTTGTAGCACTGAAGTGAACTTGACAGGCCCTCAGGAACTGGGGAACTTGATCCTCAGAGTTTCCTAGTTTGTGGATCTAGGGGGAAGAACCCAAGAATTAGCATTTCTGGCAAAAAAACAAAAAAGATTTAGCACAGTAAAAGAAAACATCAACAAAATGAGAAGACAGCCCACTGAATGCAAGAATATATTTGCCAATGATACATCTGATTAGGGGTTAATATCCAAATTTTTAAAGAACTCACATTACCCAACACCAAAACAAACAATCCAATTAAAAATGGGCAAAGGATCTGAATAGATACTTCTTCAAAGAGGACATACAGATGGCTAACAGGCATATGGACAGATGCTCAGTGTCACTAATCATCAGAGAAATGCACATTGAAACCGCAATGAGATGTCACCTCACACCTGTCACGATGGCCACCATCAATAAATGTACAAACAAGAGCTGGTGAGGACGTGGAGGAAAGGGAACTCTTGTGCACTCTCGGTGGAATGCAGGCTGGTACAGCTACTGTGAAAAACAGTGTGGACTTACCTCAAAAATCTAAAAATAACTGCCTTATGACCCAGCAATTCCATTTCTAGGAATTTATCCGAAGAAACCCGAAGCACTGATTTGAAAGAATATATGCATCCCTCTGTTTGTTGCAGCGTTATCTAGAATAGCCAAGCTACGGAAGCAGCCCAGGGACCTGTCAGTGAACGAATGGATAAGAAGGTGGTGGTGCACTTCCACAAGGGAGTACCGCTCGGCCATGGAAACGTCAAGTCCTGCCGTCTGCAACAAGATGGGTGGGCCTGGAGGGTATTATACCCAGTGAAATAAGACAGAGGAAGACAAATACCATGACTTCACTTATATGTAAAATCTAGGGAAAAATGAACAAAACTGACAAAGGCCCATAGAAACAGAACAAATGGGTGGTTACTAGAAGGAAGGGGGGTTAGGAAACTAGGAAAAAGGTGAAGGGAGTAACAAGTACAACTTGGTAGTTAAAAAACAGTCACAGGGATGTCAGGTACCGCCCAGGGAATATAGTTGACAATACTGCAGTAACTATGTACGGAGCCAGTGGGTACTGGAAATACCAAGGTTGAGACTATGTATATGATTGTCTAACCAACAAGCTGCATACCTGAAATCGATACACACTTTTGAAATTAAAATGTAATTTAAAATTTTTAAAAAATTAAAATGAAGGAAATACAGGTTTCCGAGGGCCGATGAGTCGGGGCCAGAGAAGCTCCCCTGTGCCTGAAAAGTGTCTGCGCCGCATCGCTGAACCGGCTTCGAGCCTCTTGCTCCCAGAAGGGGAGTTGTTTTCCTGCCTCTTCCCTCCGCGACAGGGAGCAGCAGGGAATCGCAGATGACCTGCGAGCTGGGGAAGGGCCAGGGACAAGTCTGCCTGCAAGTCCTTCTGTCCTCACGTAGATGCTCACATGCTCCAGTGAGGCCAGACAGTGCTGCCCACTGGGCCTCCAGGTGCTCAACACAGGCATGCACGCCAGGCTCGCATGTCCCTTGCAAGGGTCACGAGTCCCTGAAGGCCACCAGCTGCACGCTGCTTATATGCTAGTTTGGTTTTAGGAGGAGACTCCTTAACGCAATGTAAAAGGACCAAAAGGGCTGGTGCTCTGGACCGTCTCTTTTTTCAGGCTTATTTTACCCTCTGTTTAGTGTCTCCGATCTAGCAAACTCTCCCTGTCTCTGAAAGTCATGTCCTCAAATTCTATCCCTTCACAGGAAGACAAAACATCCCCTCCAACACACACTTCCCTATCTATCAATCCATCTGGCCATGTATCAGTGTCTGCCCATCATCTATCGTTTACCTGTGTATGGAGATATGCACCTACCATCTGTCCATCCTCTATCCACCCACCTGTCTATCACGCATCTTCCACCATCTATCACTTACCTGTGGGGGTACATCCGCATCTCTCACCTACCCTTCATCCATCCACCTGTGTATGTGTGCATCTGTCATCTATCTGTCTCTCCTTACCTGCCTATCATCTGTCCATCCATCCATCTCTAAAGTATCTTTTAAAGCTCATTCACCTAAGCAGAGTTAGGGGTCAGGTCCCTCTTTAATGTCCCATCTCTCTTTCTTGCAGCAATTCCAGAGTCTGGCCTTACATGGTTGTTGGAACTCTGCATTTGATTTCTGTCTCCCTCATTCAAATCCAGGTTTTGTGAGTTAGGTGCGGGTCACTCAGTGAAAATTAAATTCCTCCAAGGTGCCAATTCCTGTGGGAATTAAGTGATAAATCAGATACAGACTTTTTCCCTCGAGGTCCTTGGAGTCTAGTGGAAACTAAGGTATGTACTCAAGGAACTATTTACAGAAGCCTATAAGGGAAACGACAGACTTTGTCAGCAGGATCAAGGTTCAGTCCTCCCCAGTTGTCACAGGGCGGTGTCCCTGTGGAAAGAGGCTGTGTGGCCTCCTGAGGCAGCCGGACCTGCCTGCTTCCTGCCACGTCGCAGCTGCTTGGCTGAGAAGTCGCCCCTTGCCCATGAGGGCAGCCCCTCCTCCGCCCACTGGCCAGGTTTCTGGTGGGAGGGGACACTGCCCTTACCCCACGTGCCCTCAGCGGCCTGCTGGAGGCTCCGTGACGCCAAGGCAGGCGGGCATGCGGCAAAGCAGCCGTGAAAAGACGTCAGCGTCATCGGCCTCGGGGAAATGCAAGCTCATTCCACCGCAGGGTCTCACCGCGCAGCCGTTGGAATGGGCACGAGGAGCGAGGACACCAGACGCTGCTGTGGAGGGGAGAGAGCCACTCGCACCGAGCGGGGGAGGCTGTCAGATGGCACAGCCCTCTGGGAAACAGGTGGACAGTTTCTTAAAAGAACAAAACCTCCAACAACCACACGGCCTGGCATTTCCGCACCAGGACATTTAGCCCAGGGGAGGGGGGTTCCCATGGACACAGAACCCGGTGCACTGATGTGTGTGGCGGTCTGATCTGTGGCAGCCCCATCCCGGAGCCCCCCCCAGAAGTCCTGCGACAGTTGCGCACTTACACAGTATGGCACACCCGCGTCGTGGGCATCGCCCAGCGACAGAGTCATGGCTTGCTTGCGCCTCGGCAGTGCAGGCGCACCTCAGGCAGGCCCAGGGGAAGAGCCGCCCCGCAAAGGCTCTGGACTGTAGTGCCCCATTGCCATCACCTTTGTGGCAGGGCACAATTATAGACGGAGGACAGGTAAGTGGCTGTCAGCCGTGAGAGAGACACACAGGGTGGGAGGGGCGTGTGCGTGGCTGCAGAAGGTGACACAAAGGATCCTTGGGTGGGGGTCCAGCTGTGGCGTGGTCTACGGCTGGGATCGGTATCACTGTTGGGGGAGATGGGCAAAGGGCAGGTGGAATCTCAGCTCTCTCACTTAACAACTATGTGCAAATCTACAGATGCCTCAGAAGCGAACAATGAATTCAAAGCTCTAAAGGCGGAAGCGGAATCAGGGAGACAAGTCCGTCCGCGGGGCACGCCTGACATGAGCCCTCGCACCTTGAAGTCGTCAAGGCCGTGGTCTCAGTGGCTGCTGGGCTGGTGGGCTTCCTGATGTTCTTCACAGGTTGCTGCCACGTGCTGAAGACACGCTTCATTCCTCAGCACCAGGAACTGAAGAGGAAAGACATTCACCTCCACCAAAAAGCACTTCAGGCTTCAAGGTGACCTTCAAGGCTTTTTAGCATGAGGTGGTCTTTGCATGTCCTACTTTTGTGATCACGGAAACGGACAGGGAGTCCCAGAAAGTGTTCCGTTCTGTTTCCTCTAAAGCATACGGGCTAATTCCTAATTTGAGCTCTGGTTTTGTGAGAAGCTACCGTACCTGGTGCTGCCGAGCAGGAGAGAGCGGGCTTTACGTTCTCCAGGAGCGGGGGCTTTCTGGGCTCCATGGAGGAAACACTCCTGTAGGTCTACGAAAACACCTGTGCTATTATCAAAGACTTTTATGTTTGTTCCTCGTAGCTGCCGTACCTGTTAGGGCCAGCGAGTCCTGTTGAAGCTTACTTGTAGCTCAGCTGAGCAGTAGCTAAGCGCTGTCCTGGGCTTAGAAACTTGTCGTATTTCCAGTATCAAGTGCTGATCTTTGAGAATTTGCCTCCAGGTGTGATTACTGATTTAGCTGAGATTAAGGTGGATTTTCCAGAACGCTCCTGCATCTAGATTTGCATGCTGATGCGAAACCGACTGTCCCTGCTTCTTACCGTCCCCCCTACCCCCCCCCCCCCCGCCCCAGCACTGTATTCAGTCCGCAAGAGGCCACAAGCTGCCCGGTTTGTTTTGGGTTTGCTGTCATGTGACACTCTGCTCTGCTGTGACCGCTGTGCTGCTCTCCCTTTCCAGCCTCGAAACGCGCAGGCCCAAGACACGTCCTGGAAATGGTGGCCTCCTGTCTCTCAGCGGCTGTCTGTAACTCGGTGACTCCTGCATTTGAGCTCTCGAGCTCTGTGTGGGGGATTGAGACTCATTTCTGGTGTTGTGCCAGCCTTGACTTTTAGCATAAAACCCTAGTGTATGTTTGACCTGCAACAGGCTGTTCTGTGGCATTTGCTCTGTTGCTGGCGAAGCCCTTCTCCGAAGCCGGACACCAGCCCCCAGGGCCCCGCACCAGCCGAGGGCGACAGCCGGCCGCCTGGACACCAGCCCCCAGGGCCCCGCACCAGCCGAGGGCGACAGCAGCTGCCGGACACCAGCCCCCAGGGCCCCACACCAGCCCCCAGCCCCCAGGGCCCCGCACCACCCAGTCACCCTGCTGCTGCACAGCCCTGTGGTGCTCAGCAAAGACTGGAGGGGGAAGAGGTGGCACCTCTCCTTGTTCAGGGATTTGCTGCCACGTAGGTCTACAATACACACACTCCTGATTCCTGCGCTTATATTTTCACCAACCCTCACTGTAAACAACTTTCTTCTTGAATCCCACTGCGGTTTCAGCTGTAACTGTCCCCTGAACCAGTAAAGTTGCAGGAATTTTGCACACAGGACTCTCTGATCTCATTTTAGCTTTGGTGTTTGCACACTCTAAAGAGCAGGAGCAAGGGAGCTGAGCCCACACTGCCTGCGCACCCGCGGCGCACTGGAGGTTCCCGTGGTGAACCAACCAGCATGCACGGTGGTGTCCACATCCGAGGTCAAAGGCACGTTAGGCAGAAATGGTCAGAAAGCACTTTCCTTGCCAACAAGGCTGACCACTTCCTCATCTCCAGGGATAACTGGGAGGTATGGCTGCCACTTAACCCACTATCCCTCCTGGCCCCTGCTGGGAGAGATGGATGGGGTGGCTGGTTTTTATGCTGGGTTCTGTTGGTAGACTAAGTTTTTCAGTGTTAGCCAGAATCTAAGGGAAAACTGTATGAACAAAATCTTAAGAAATTTAAAATAACCTATGCCTTAAAGACCACACATTTTTAACACAGTTGAAAATGTATTTGAAATCCCTCTAATCCAACCCTTTTTTGTCTCTCTCAAGAAAGAGGTGGTATAAATATTTCATAAATCATGTATCTTTGTTCAGGCCCTCAAATATTTAGAAATAAGACATGACTAATTAATAAATATAAATATAATATACAATAACAAATATAACTGTAATAAATAATTATTGGTTCTCAAAAAAGGTTTAAAATGGCATGGTCATACCCAACACTCAACCCTGAGAACAATGGCATTTGCTGCGATTGGTGAAGTGTCCCCGGGACCCCGCTGGGCCAGGCCTCACCCACGTCATCGCTGGCTGTGCTGGGCACAGAGGTTGATGGGTAGAGGTGGCGGGCGGCCCTGGAGAGAGAGGGCTGGCTTCTGACCGTGAGCACAGCTGCTCCCATAACATTTAAGAAACAGGCTAACAGAAGCGTTGTTCGCTTTTCTTTCTAGGTGTGAGAAATCTTCAAGATAAAAAACGTAGTCCCACTGAGTACCATGTGGACGGCCAACAGCGCGGACCGAGTAGGAAAGGCCGCAGGAGCCGGGAGGCCCTTCCCCCATCTTGGTCTGGCCCCCGGGGAGCATGCTGGCCACCACTGGGTGGGACCTACAGCTTGCGCCATATGTGCAGGGGTTTAAAGTGGAAACTATTTCAGTCTGATTGTATGTTAACCCAGGGACTCCCTTTGTGAGCTCCCACAGTGACCTCTGTCTACCTAGTACGAACCCCAAAAGCTTCCTCTATGCAAAAGTATCAGATTGCCAAAGGCTGGCAACGACTGCAGTGAACACCTTGGTTTGGAGCCGCGGTTCTCAGACGGGCTCCACAAGCCCCGTCGGGGAGAGGACCAGGGCCCGGAGCCTCTCCGGCGTCCTGCCCGCTCGGCCCCAAGGAGTGGGTGTTTTTAAATCACTGGAGTATCTTTCTTGAGGAAGCACTACTGAGTATTTCAGGCAAGTTGGAAATGTTCCTTTTATACTCTCAAGGTAATTCACTTAATGTTTAATACACAAATGGAGGTCGTCATGCCATCAGACACTGGGTGCCAGAACTGCCAAACACAGATGGCCACATCTGGTGTCTCCAGGGAGGTGACAGGGTAGTTTTGCAAGACACGCCTGAGGCCGGCGTGAGGACGGGGCTGTGGCCCGGCCCCGGCCCCCTCGAGGCTCCTCTCGCTCCGGGGCGCGCTCGCCGCCCCCCCCAAGCCTCTCCTTTTCTCACTGCCTCGTCCCGCTTCGGCGCAGTCCCACCCAGTGCTCTAAGGACGCAGCTAAAATGTTTCTAAGTTGTCAATTTACAAATTCTATTATGTGACTATTGATTTAAAAAAGAAAACATCTCAAAGCTTATTGGGAAGAAACACGTATTTACATCATTCTCTCCAAGTCGTCTTTCCCACGACACATTTCCCTGGAGATTATCAGTCCCCCTTGCTCTGTGCCTTCACGCTGCAGGTGCGAGGAGGCACTCTCACCTGGGAATAAAGGCACCTTCCAAAGGAGGTTCTCCAGAGGCCGTCTCTGTCTCACGAGGGGAAGTGCGGAAGCCGGGTCTGCGCGTGAAACGGGGTGGGGGTGGGGGGGAAACAGACGGGGGCTTGGGGGGTAAGAGCTGGGTGGGAACGGGCAGGTGCTGAGGACGTCACCGCCGCCCAGCACTTGGCTTCTCACTTGGTGACCCCTGTACAGACGGCAGAAGGACCAGAAGCTGTGTCCGTGTGCAGGCGCTGGGGAGCCGCAGAGGCCTCCCACTGTCCTGAGGGAACAGGGCCCAACATGGGGAGGGAGGGGCGGGAGCAGCGTCGCTGGTGGGAACGTAAAACGTGGCAGCCACTATGGAGAACTTTGATGGCCTCTCTGTAAGTTCAACTGTTATGACCCCAAATGCCACCTCCAGGATACACCCACGAGAAATGAAACACACAAAATTACACTCAAAGGGTCACAGCAGCACTGTCCATCACAGCCAAAAATGTGGAAACAGCCCGCATTTGTCAATGGACGGCCGGATAAACACAACGTACTAGAGGGACTGGGGACGGGGATGGGAATGGACGTGAGATCTGCTGTGGGGCAATGAAAACGGTCCAGAACTACACAATGGGGATGGTTGCACGGCGCTGTAAATGTACGAAAATTCACTAACGATCAATTTTCTGTTGTGTGTTATTTACTACCATAGAAAAAAGCTAGTAAGCCGTAAGTCTGTGTCTTCTTGAGCCTTAACGCATTTTCACGTTTGGATAGTAATGGTGCAGGAACTTCACCAAAGAAAATATAACCTTTAGTGGTTTAGGGATAATAGTTCCAAGTCTGCAGAATGTAACTTTATACAGTGAAGCAAAAGGAAGAATGAAGCCATCCTGAGTAGTTTTCTCCCAAGAAGCTCCTACACCTCATGACAGAGGGCACGGCCTTCTCTTCACAGGCAATAGCATGTGTGGGTGAACCTCTCTTGCTAGGAATGAAGAGCACTGTGTCTAACACACACAAGCACGATGCGGACCAGGATTTCTTTTCAAGAGACTGACAGGATTTGGGACAATTCACCACCAGGACTTGTCGGTCTGGACCAGGCTGCTCACTTGTACCCAGGGAGGAAGAGCCCAATGGTGGAGGGGCTCCTCCTCACTCCCACAACATCCCAGCCTCTAATTCTGAGCTTCGAAGTTCAGGTGGACACCCCAGCACCTGCCTCTGGGTGCGTCCATCAGTGGGGAGCTAGGCCCGCGACCTTTGGGGAGGTCACACTTGGAGGGGCAATAAAGGAAGTGGGGACTGAAATTGAGCTTTTCAGTTAAAGGTTCTCTCTGATGTCCCCAACATACATTTGCCATAACAATACCATTACCTTTTATCTTTGTAAGGATTTCCTTAGAAATGCCCAAGGAAGTGTATTTTCATGGGATGCCTATAATAAGTGGCTCGGTGCCACTGATGAAGGGAACAAGGAGAAAATCGTTGCATCCCAGAGGTAAGAAGGCAGGGATGGCTTCCCAGGGATGGGACAATGCTTCCAAACACAGCCCATGTCCCGGGAGGAAAGGATCAACTGAGAGTTCACAAGCCCTGCCATTCACTGAAAGGATGAGAAGCCCCACAGGTTCATTTGATCACACCAAGGAGGCAGTTGAAGCACAGATGCGTATCTCCTGCTTTTATGGAATTCCTGTGTTTCCCTCCACTTGTTACTACGGCTCCGTGACCATCTTGTACCTTCCACAGAGAGGAGCCTGATGGGTGAAACCCACCGCTGGTCTAGGAGAGCTGCGGGTGGCCCGCCCTGCCAGGGGCCTGCCCTTTGCTCTCAGGCACTTAAGAACCAGAGAGGGTCTCACCTGGCCAGGAACTGAGCTCAGTGAGACCCATGTGCAGGCGTTCCTGCCTGGAGCTCTGCCAGCCTCTCAGATCGTGAGTCACACTCAGGCCGGACCCCGACTGAGCCTGCCCGCATTGCTGCCTTAAAAATAAAGGGAGCCCCTTCTATTTAATTGTGGTTAAATTTAATAGGCTCTAGTGCACTTTCGTTGAGCACATTCTAGAAGATTGCAGCGATGTAAAATAAGTCATCTCACTCGCTGCTTACCACAGCCCAGGGGCACAACAGCAGCACACCGTACAGCAGCCGCCTTGCTGTGCTGAGCTGACTCAGGCACTCCTCACACACCCCACGAAGCGAAGTTACATTGTTACCCCACTTCAAAGGTGAGGAAACAGGCTCACAGGAAGCGTACACACTGCCCAAGAGCACAACGCTGAGAGGCAGGGAAGAACTGACACCCGCAGTGTCAACACAAAGCAGGAGCGCCTGCCTGGGTCCAGGGAGGGGACGGGGAGCACAGAAGTCTGGCCTTTCTGTCCGGGACGCTAACCACCTCTCCCTCCTGTTGTCAGAAGAGCGAGGAGGGCATGCGGAAGGCCCATGGCACATGGGCGGGGCGAGGGGGGGTGGATGAGCCCCCGCAGGCTGGAGAAGGCCCCTCCGGCAGAGCAGAGGGAGCCGTTGGTGCCAGCGAGGGACAAGGGCCTGCCTCCTCCAAGGGCGTCCGGCGGTGGGAGGGGTGGCCAGGCAGGGAGAGGCCAGGCGCAGTGCAACCAGGAGCAAAGGCAAGCCACCTGGCTCCTGCCTCAGGCGCACAGGAGCACAGGAGGAGGTGACGCCAGCGC